GGGGGGGGGGGGGGGGGGGGTATATTGACTGGATAAAATTTTTGTGGGGGTCATAACCCCCCAACCCTCCTGCAAATCAGGCCTATGCTTAATACACACACCCTCCAAAGGAGGCAATAACAAAATTATTGACACCCAAAAAAGTGCAGGCACCTGTTATAATCTTTGCCAGACAGACTTCTTACACAAACAGACACACATCTAAGGCACATCTTAATTATTTGAATTTCCAACCAAGCAGATATGTCAAATATCACACACCTGGTAGTCAAAATTTTATTTACTAGTCCAGCTGAAAATATGCTTTTCCAGTATGAGAAACCAAGTCCTGCCATCTCACTCATAAATCACATGACAATAATACAAAGAACCCTGGCCCTGGAGCAGTGCTGTTATCCTAACTGGGCGTTTCTGAAAGCAGATAAGAAACCCAAACAGGATTCCAGCCAATAATCAGCTGAAAATGAAGACCCTAAACCCAGACCTAAACCAGTCATCATTCCAAATGTGGCGGGAGTTTCAGAGAAACTGAGACGTTTATTCTCGAAACATGATGTCCCAGTGGCTTTCAAACCCCAAAACACGTTACGACAAAGATTAGTTCACCCCAAAGATCCAGTTCCCCGGCAAAAACAGAGTAATGTAGTATATGCTGTTAAGTGTCAGGAGGACTATGATCAGTCATACATTGGGGAAACAAAACAACCACTGTTCAAAAGATTGAGCCAGCACAGACGAGCTACGCCTTATAAGCACTGCCTCCACATGGTGGACAAACAGGTTGGTCAGATGCAAAAGAGGACCATCAGCCAAACAGTAGGTTGTTAGTGCTTTGATTGTCTCTCTTGTTTGTAGAGGGTCATGTGCCCCATCACCTCACTATCATTGGGGCCCTGATTCATAGCTTTTGCTCACAGGGGGCTGAGTCATACTTGCAACAACAGCATTGTAGGAGGAGGACAACTGGACACGAAGGCCTCCACTTCTGTTTCGTGTTGTTGTGTCATCATCACTATCATGATAAGATCAACCATTTCCCCTCCCAGAACAGAAACACTAAGCTAAAAAGTAACCGTAAGCTAAAGCTAAAAAGTGGGAAATCAAAATTATTTTCATCTTATTTTTTAAATCAATATTAGATGTTAATATTGGCCCAGTTTTACTTATACAGTATGAACTGATAACAATATTCTAAAAAATTACCAACATCGTCCGATATCGATGTTAATGCCGATATATTGTGCATCCCTAATTCTCATAGTTGAGCCAGGTCTCTGAGACAGCTAATATACTAAAACGTTTGTTTAACTGTTTTAAATAGTCTGTTATTTTAGAAGAAATTGTACGTCTTCTACTATTAAAATGAATGATAGAGAAACCTCCATTTTTATTTTGTCATTAAATAGCTCTTCATTAAAATAGTCTACGAATGCTCTTCAATATAAGACTGATTACAGGAAAAACTATTCTATCCATCATACAATGTACATATTATATATTTTAGACTCTTGAGTCTTCATAAGTATTCATATTTTAAATGTATATACGTATTATACACTTGTTTATTTGTCAATATACTGTACCTAAATCTTAATTCCTTTTGTATAAAAGTTTTCAGTCATCTTATTTTTTCATTTGTCCCCTTCTGAACTTATCTAACTCCTTCAGTTCTTTTATTATTTTAGCCTACGATCCTTCTACTTTATTCCAAACATTTCCATTTCATGTCCAAGTTGCTGAAATTTGTTTCTGATTTTCTTAATAACCTTGCCTCTCGTGCAATGTTAACTTTTTTTTGTTAAATGCTCATTGATGTACACGATTGTTCCCTTCAGCATTTTTTACTTGCCTTAAGAGTCCTCTTTCTACTGACAAATCTGATAAAAATTTGCTGGTTTATCCTTTTCTATGATGCGAGGCAAGGTGTGACGGATAGATATGGTTTATTTTTGAATACTGATTTTTTTACTGTGTAAAAAAAGTCCCTACTTGTTCAATAGTTTGTAGTTCACCTTGTAGAGCATCCTCTGCTGTAACCACGTTTGAAGCAACTCGAGCGTTGGATCGACGTTTCATCTTTAGTCCAGTTATAATTAATTCTTCTGTTTTCGGATACTGTTCCAGATCGTCCACTCTTTTCTCCAGTTCAGTTATTCTTTCATCCACCATTCAGCGTCTTCACCTCCTCTATCAGGCCAATCAGACTTTCGAGCTGAGAAACTAACTTTGTTAGCTCACCCAACAAGAAGGTCAATGAGTTCTTGATCTCCTCCTGAAACTCCGCTGTGGCAGGTTCTCTTTCTCTCCCAGATCCACGTCTTCCCGGCTTGATTCACTCAGCAGCTTTTATTGGTGCACGTTGTGAGCCCGTCGTCCTCAAGCCGGGTTCACACCGAACACATTTTGAGCATCTAAAACGCGCCCAGTGCCTGAAGTTAGACGCGCTACGTTCAGACCTGAACAAGAATAGACGCGCGTCTGAAGAGAGAGGAGCGTCTTGTGTTTTTTTTTTTCTGGTTTTTTAATTGCGGATGAAATGAAGAAAATGGCTTTGCTTTATTTACTGAGAGCAAGCTAATATTGCACTCACCAGATAATTATTTCACCTGATAATTTAGAGGCAGTCTGTTCGGTGAGTTTCACTCCAGGAGCTGCGAGCTGACAAACTATTTTTTTTGTCTCAAGCCCAGTTTAACAACATGGTCAGTTTAACGAGCTGCTGACCCACATCGGTGCTGATATCTCCTGCCAGAACACCACCTGCAGATGGTTGATTTCAGCTAAAGAGCTCCTGTCTGTCTGTTTCAGGTTAGTGGGCAACATTCAGGAAACCGTCACGTGGAAAAATGATTCTCTGATTGGTTGGCACGGCGTGCTGAGCAGCAAAAGTTCAATTTTTTAAACTTGAGAGTCGGCTGCTTGGGACACACTATGCATGGAAAATGCTCAACTGCATCTACTGCTTCACATCGCACCGCGCTGCCCCTAGACGCACGTCCACCATAGACTTTGCATGGAAACTGGCTGCTTCTGCTGCTCAAAACGCATCCCGTGTGAACCCTGGTTTAAGACTCACCACCTCCATAAACAGCAAACTCCTCCCTGAAGTTCCTTCTTTGTGTTTGTTTGTCCTTAAACATTTCTTTCTTTGTCTGTTTGTTCCTCCAGAAGTCCCACAGCAAGATGTTTGTCAGGAGGAGGAGGTTGAAACGGCCCAKGAGGAAGCAGAACCTCCTCAGATGAACCAGAACCAGACTAAACACAGCATGAACCGGGAGTTGGAGCAGCTGATGCAGGAGTTGAAGGCTCAGAACTTATTGG